TGTAGCCCCCAAGTTCCCGACTTAAATCCTCTACCCTGGGGGTGTTGCCATCAGGTAGATGTGACTTCTGTGACTTCCTTGCTGACCACTTGCCTATAATTTGCAGACCCTGGGGAAGGGGTGGGGGGGTCTGGTTCTTGCTTCCCGGGTGCCTTTCCAGACACCAGTAGCAAGGTCTTATCATGTTTATGGGTCTGTTTTAAGATTACAATGGCCAGATACTGGTCATGTTTGAGGAATTTGGGTTTCTGAAAAAAAAGTCAGCAAAGTTAATCTTTACCTAAAGAATGCATTCCTCCAGGGCATAGTTTCTACTTTCTCATCATTGTGTTAGGGTTTAGGAACAAGATAAAATGGCTTGCCCTCTCTGTTCATCTTCTCATTTTGGATTTTGGATTTTCAGATTAGGGGTACTCAATCTGTATATGTAAACAAATGGATAAACAAATAGGGAAGAAAAGACAAATTTCCCATACAGAAAAATCCCAAATATTTTATGTAGATAATCCCTCCTCTACAGAGTTGTTGGGGTTTTTTGTTTGTTTTTTGAGTTGGAGTCTCACTCTGACACTATGGCACGCTCATGGCCACCACAGCCTCGACCTACTGGGCTCAGGTGATCCTTCCACCTCAACCTTCCAAGTAGCTGGAACTACAGGTGTGTGCTACCACGTCCGGCCAATTTTTTTCTTTATTGTAGAGACTAGGTCTCATCAAGTTGTCCAGGCTAGTTTTGAACCCCTGGGCTCAGGCAGTCCTCTCGCCTCGACTTCCCAAAGTGCTGGGATTACAGGCGTGAGCCACTGCACCCAGCTGGGGATACAGAGTTTAATTATACCTTTTTTTTTTTTTTTTTTTTTTTGAGTTGAGTGTCACCCAGGCTGGAGTGCAGTGGCATCATCATGGCTCAGTGCAGCTTTGACCTCCTGGGTTTAGGTAATCCTCCTGAGTAGCTGGGACTACAGGCCTGGCCATTTATCTAACTTACTTGAGTACTGGATACTTTTTCAGATGGTGCATTTATTTCTCTTCTCTAACTTTGGTTGTATTTCTTTCACTCTTTTTGGCTTTTATCCCCCCCCTTACATTCCTTACTCTGTACTGAGATAACCCTGACAGTTCTCTTCTCTAGCAGCCAGTTTCCCTCCTGTAAGATTCATAGTATAATACAAGGCAGTATTATTCCAATATCAGTTCTTCAAATGGCAGCTGCCAAGCAAGTTCCCTTGGTTGGGGTCAACTTCTTTCTCTACTTTGATTTGAGCTGTACTTTGACTAGCAAATGCTTGATTCCTTGACTTCAGCCGTCATCCATTTTTCAAATGGCTAAAATCCTCAAGACTTCAGCTGATGGGTATTTTAGAGGCAGAGCTTGGATGGATGCTTTGTTCCTGTGTCTTTGGAATAGAGCCTTGAGCTTTGGCAGAGTTGCAGAAGCTGTTGGATAGAGATAGTTTCCTGAAGAGTTTCTAGTCTTCCTCCCGTCTGTCTCCCTCTCATCTTCTCTTTGCCTTTGGAAATCCTTTTTACATGTTGGGGAAAAAGTAAATTCCCTGTCTTTTGGATAAGATCAAGTAATCCTTCTTATATGTTGGGAAACATGTGACATGGATTTTTGCAGCAGAGGGTTAGAAAAGAACTTTCTTTGTTCACTTGGCCCTCTGCATTTCAGGTCCCCACCCCCAACTGCCTGCCTGAGTGTGAAGTACTCAAGACTCATGGCGTCACGTGGTGTATTGGCCCCTGGAGAACTGCTGAACTGCTTTTTTCAAACCCTTTGCTTTGTCCCAGCCATGTCTGTCTGTCTCTGCCTGCTCCTCCCCTCTCCTCCCCGCCATTCCTTTTAGAGATAGGATCCGTCTCTGTCATCCAGGCTGAAGTGCAGTGGCATCAGGTGCGTGCCATCATGCCCAGCCAATTTGTTGTTTTGTTTGTTTTTTGTAGAGCCAGAGTCTCCCAGTGTTGCTAGGCTAGTCTCAAACTTCTTGGCTCCAGCAGTCCTCTGCCTTCAGCCTCCAAAAATCTGGGATTACAAGTGAGCCACTGTGCCTGGCCCCAGCTTCTCTTAAAGGCTAAATTCTTCTTTAAATATTATATGTGTTGCATTCCTATTACGAATATTGTTTTATTTTATTTTATTTTTGAGTTGGGGGTCTCACTCTGTTGCCCAGGCTGGAGTGCAGTGGCATGCTCACAGCCACCACAGCCTTGACCTGCTAGGCTCAGGCAATCCTTCCTTTTCAGCCTACCAAGTAGCTGGAATTGCAGGCACACGCCACCATGCCCGGCTAATTTTTTTTATTTATTGTAGGCTGGTCTCAAACCCATGGGCTCAGACAGTCCTCTCACCTTGGCCTCCCAAAGTACTGGGATTATAGGCATGAGCCACAGTGCCTGGCCTAATTTTCTTTTAATTGTAGAAGTGCAATCTGGCCAAATTGACCAGGCTGTTCTCGAACCCCTGGGCTCAAGCAGTCCTCCTGCTTCAGCCTCCCAAAGTGCTGGGATTACAGGTGTGACCCACCTAACCCTACCAAGACGTTAGCTTCTTTACACATGTGGGAAGAATTAGCTTCAGCCACCAGGAGCCATGGGTGCTGTGAGTGTGATAGTATGTTTCTTTTTTTTGAGTTGGAGTCTTACTGTGTCATCCAGGCTGGAGTGCAGTGATATGCTCCTGGCCACTGTAGCCTCAACCTGCTGGGCTCAAGCGATCCTTCCACCTCAGTCTTCCAAGTAGCCAGAACTACAGGCGCGTATTACCATGCCTGGCTAATTTTTTGATTTATTGTAGAAGTGAGGTCTCACCATGTAGCCCAGGCTGGTCTCGAACAATCCTTTCGCCTCGGCCTTCCAAAGTGCTGGGATTATAGGCTTGAGCCACCACGCCTGGCCAATAGTATGTTTCTAGAGGGTGTTATGTTGAACTATCTCAAGGAGAGCTTCTGACTTCACAGTACTCAACTCTGAGCTTTCATGCTGGGGATAAAGTCTGTTCAGAACGCCTGGTTGGCACGTTTTATCTGCCATACCCAGGGCACCTTGGACCTCTTATCATCTTTGCGTACTGGTATGAACCCTAACCTCTACCCACTTGCCTGTCTCCCCATAGGAGTTGATGCTAGCTTTCCTCAGGCAGGATGGGGATGGATGCTTTAGAATGCAGAAGGGGAATGACAGATGATGCGTCTTTTCACACCCCTTTCTCTCTGTTCTGATCCTGGCTTCTGCTTCCAAATACACAGCAACCCTGGCTTTCAGCCTAGGTGGAGAGGGAAAAAGAACTGACTTCCTTCAGTTCCTCTCTGAAAATAACCCAGCTGGCACTGCTCAGGAACAAGAAGTTCCTGAGAGTGTTGGCACCTCACAGTGTTGATGTCCAGTAGTCCCTGCTGTAAACTTTGTCTCTGCCTGATTATCCTCTACAAGGACCTCTGTGGAGGGAGTTTGGGAGGTCTTTAAAACGTTTGCAATACCAAGCCTAAGCATAGTGAAGTGATGGGGATGTAGGAGAACCATAGCGCCCTAGGGGAGTTTGGGATAATCTGTGGGAGGTCCTGCAAGGTGGGTTAGAGTCTGGCTATTGTAAGAGGACCCAATTCCAGCAGCTCGTCGACCAAAAGCCAGAAAGCCAGACGAGAGTTGATGGAAGAAAACAGGTTTTATTCAAGAGCTGACAGTCCTGATGAGATGGTGGACTTAATTCACAAAGATCATCTCAGACCCTTAGTTTTACTGTAGGGCTTTTAAAGGGAAATTTTGTGTGAGAACTATGCAGAAGTGGTATAGAGTGTAGGGTCTACGTGTCCCTCTTCCTGTGGGCTATCTCAGTAATTACCTGTCTGGAGGTCCAGCTGCTGGCATCTTGACTGCTGCTGCCCTGTGGTGGATCAAACATCCTTGGCTCCCCTGAGGGCTCCATGCTGGGTTTGTTTTAGGATTAGCCTCTGGCATTTCTCAAGCAGGAGCATAGATAAGCAAGAAGGTTGCTTAGTTGTTAGAGGGTGATTAGGGAGAAAGAATGAAGGAGGGAGGAGTGAGGAGGAGAGAGGAAGGAAAAAAGAGAAAAAATAAGGGAAACATTTCTTTTTTCTTTTTTTTTTTGGAAAGCAGAATTTATTAAGAAAACAGAAAACTCCCACAGTTGGAGGGGACCCAAAAGGGTTGCCCTTAAAACACATTTCTAAATCCCACTTTCTGGTTACACCATGGCTTCTTCTAGTCTGTTCTAGGAAAAAGGTGGATGCCTATGAGGCCCGGCTCTGGAGTGTTTGCTGCAAGCCCCACCAGTCTTTTCTGGATGTCTGATTCCTAGCTGCTGCACATTCTGGAGCTAGTAGCTGGGGGTAGGGTAAGAAGAAGGGTGTCAATCTCGACTCTCTTGTCCAAATAGACTCATTTTAAAGCTCAATAAATAGTTGCTGCATGAAATAAACTGAAGATGAGTCTTGAAAGACGAATGGGAGTAAGCCCTGCGGGGAAAGCGCCGAGTTCCAGAGGCATAAGTTGGAGCTGGCTGGCTCTGAGAGTGCAAGTGCCAGGGGCTAATGGGGGAAGGTTGAAGTGATGGGGATGGTGTAGTAGAGTGGACGCAGAGGGACCTCGGGATCCGGGGCGGGACAAACCACAGACTTCGTCCACCTAAAAGTGGTCGGTGCTAAGCCTTCCTAGCGTCAGGCTCGAAAGAACCTCAGGGGTTGTAGACTGGTTCGAGATGAGAAACTGGACCGCTCAGGGATCGGAGGCGTGCTGCCGAGCTGACGCCCTCGCGGCGCCCACCTAAGGCGACCTGGCCTGAGCCCTGCCGACGTCCACTTTAAGGGGCGGGCCGGGGCGGGGCTCCTTGGCAACTTCCTCGCGGACGCGCCCGCCCGCGAGCAGATGCAGTAGCGGAAGCTGCGCAGAGTTCCGCAGGCAGGAGGCTGTTCTGGGCTGGGCGATCTGGGACGGGGTCGTGCCGCCACCTGACCGCAGGCCGCGTCGTGTTGCCGGTTCCGCAGGCACCATGAGCCAGGACACCGAGGTGGATATGAAGGAGGTGGAGCTGAATGAGCTGGAACCCGAGAAGCAGCCGATGAACGCGGCGTCGGGGGCGGCCATGGCGGGCGGCGCCGAGAAAAACG